ACAAAAAGTGCCAATTTAACAGGAATACATAAAAACATCTTATATTTATAAGCATCTAATAATATACCTTTAATATATTTTTAAATAGAATTAAGAGGTCACTTAGGCAAATCCATATTTATAGTTAGAATATTTTAACTTCCTCTGTTTCTCATGAATATCGTACACAGATTTTAAAAAAAACAGTAAGGGCATAGGAAATTTGAGCAATATTGAGAAACTTAATGTAATTGATATATAGAGCCATTTACCTAATTATTGAAAAAGACACTTTAAAAAAATGAATGTAGGATATTACCAAAATTGACCATATGCTGGGAGCACAGAGCAAGCCTACACAAATTTCAAAGGATTGAATTCTTTTACAGTGTGTCCTCTGACCATAGAATTGGCACAAAAATATAAATATAAAAATCTCCCAAATATTCTAAGTTAACCATGAGTGAAAGAGAAATCACAGTATAAATAAATAAATAAAGATGAAAATACCACATATTACAACTTCTGGGATATAAAAAAAAAAGATGACTTGCAAAAGATAGCAAAAGCAATTTGTAGTGGCACACTGAGAGCCTTAAATGCATATATTAGAAAAACAGAAACACTGAAAAATTAATAACCTATACTTTGAAATTAACAAGCTGGGGGGGGGAATGCAAATTAAATCCAAAGGGAGTAGGATGAAGATAATTTTAAAATGGTAGAAAATAACTGTACATAGAGAAAATCACCAAACCCAACACTCATTCAACAAAAGCAAATAAATATTGAAATGTTTCTAACAAAAATTATCAATAGACAAGAAAAGGAAGGGGCACAAATAAATAATGTCAAGAATGAAAACATCTTCCAGACAAAAATAAAAGTAGATATATCATGAACAACTATATATCAAGGCACTTTAAATTTTAGGTAAATGGGCAAACTCATTGAAAAACAACATATTCAAACTGATCCAATAATAGATAGAAAATATGAACAGTGCTCCATTAAAGAAATTAAAATTCTAGTAAAGATACTCCCATATGATTAACTCCAGATGGCTACATCAGTTAGTTCTTCCTAATACTTAAGAAATAATAGCATTTACCACAAACTCAATCAGGGATCAGAAATAGAGAGAAGACCTCTCAACTTGTTTAATGTTGTCAGCATATCTTTTGATACTAAACTGGACAAGAATGTTACAAAAAAATTATGTAATGATGTAGCTCATAAACATGGACACACACACACACACACACACACACACACACTCCAAATTAGGTATGAGGGCAGATGAAGTAAGCATGTGGGACAAAGCTATTACAATTATTTTCTTCATATTTCCCTCATTTCACTCTTCAGAGGGAGAGCAACCTTGTGCTGAGGTAGGAAAAAAAAAATGTGTTTATTGGAAAGAAGATTGCACAGTAGGAGAAGTACCCTTCTGAAGTCACATATAATTATTAAATCCCACCAGGGAAGTACTAAAAATTTATTATAGTACTCTCTATTGGCAGTCTTTCATCCCATGCCTCTGTGGTAACTAAGTGAAATGGAAGAAGCAGAAGCATGAGTCACACTGCAAGATTCAGTCCCGGATCTGCCATTTGTTGGCAAGGTGATGTTAGGTAAGTTGCTTTGTCTCTCTGAGCCTTAGTGTTCTCATATAAAACAATGGATCAATAGTATTTACCTCAAAGTAGTTAAGTGGATTAAATGAGATAATAGGTGTGAAAATGGCTGGCACAGATTCTGGCAAGTTTTATATGTGCACATAGACAGACAGAAATTTTTCCAAAGCTGGAGATACTATCTGCATTAGTTATTTACATGATTCATGCCACTCAAAACCACTGTCTATCTTTCTACAGTACAAATATATAATATACTAGAGGCCCTGTGCACAAAAATTTGTGCACTTGGGGGGGTCCCTCAGCTCGGCCTATGCCCTCTTGCAGTCTGGGACCCCTCGGAGGATGTCCACCTGCTGGCTTTGGCCCGTTCCCTGGAGGATCAGGCCCAAGCTGGCAGTCAGACATCCCTCTGGCAGCCTGGCAGCCCTCAGGGGATGTCCACTTACCAGCAGGGAGCAGACCTAAGCTGCAGTTGGACATCCTTAGTGCTGCTGAGGAGGCGGGAGAGGCTCCTGCCACCACTGCTGTGCTGGCAGCCATCAGCCTGGCTTGTGGCTGAGCAGAGCTCCCACTGTGGGAGTGCACTGACCACCAGGGGACAGCTCCTGCATTGAGCATCTGCCCACTGGTGGTCAGTGTGTGTCATCGTGACCAGTCATTCCCAGTCATTCTGCTGTTTGGGTCTGTTGGGGTCCAGCTCCAGCAGGTCCAGGGGTTCCCAAAGGTGTGGACGAAGTAGGCAAAGAAGGAATAACTCGGAGGCAGTGTTCAGATGATCAGCATAGCAAGGTTCTCTTTTTATTCTCCTATTACATCTGTATTTATACCAGTTGATTTTAATCCTATCCATTCTATACCAAAGGTTAGGGCATTTGTTATCACCATTCCAAGGTCATACTCTATTGTTCTGTTAAACTACAAGGAAGTAACTGAAGGAGATTATCCTAAGTAAAGATTATGTAGCTTAAGTGTGATTGTTCGTAGTTAAAGTGATTAATTACCCGCCTGACACTTAGGTAAGAGGTTTTACAGATTTATTCCCTTCCTTAGTCCTGTTAATCCCTAACTCCAGAGAAAAAATCCCCACCTGGAGAAACAACCTTTCTCAGAGAGGTAACCTTGGTTAAAACACATAGCGCTAAGAAAGGGAGCAAACATATTAAGAACAGTATGCCATATACCCCAGGTCCCTTGAAACATATGCTGTGCAGATGTTCCTTCCCTGCAGTGACTGTGTCAAGCATCAAGGATGGACCGGCTTCCCACGTAGGTCAATTTGCATATTACCCTTTTATTATATAGGATTATATGACTACAGGCCTGGTGCATGAAATTCGTGCATGGGGCCGGGGGTCCCTCAGCATGGCCTACACCCTCTCCAATCCAAGACCCTTTGGGGGATGTCTGACTGCTGGTTTAGGCCTAATCCCTCAGCCCTCTCACAATCCTGGACCACTGGCTCCTAACTGCTTGCCTGCTTGCCTGATCGCCCCTAACTGCTCCCCTGCTGGCCTGATCACCCCTAACTGCTCCCTTGCCAGCCTGATCATCCCTAACTGATCCCCTGCCTGCCTGATCACCCCTAACTGCCTCTGCCTCGGCCCCCGCAGCCTAGACCCAGGCTTCCCTCCTCTGGCCAGCTGCAGGCACCTGGGACCATGGGGGGCTTTGCCCTGTCCCAGCTTTGTCAGGAGGACATCCAGAAGGTCATCTGGAAGACGTCCAGTCTAATTAGCATGTTACCCTTTTATTAGTATAGATAATATGTTAATATTATCTATATTAAGTGCAATAAATACATGACTCTAAAAGATTACCATTTATTATTGCAGCTACTTGCAATATCCTGGTCTGTAGATTCGATGCATGTTAATTAGAATGCATATGGTGCCTCTTACGAAGTTGGAGAGATTAATAGACTATTTGGAAGAGGAGGGGACAGCAGTGTCCAATAATCAATACAAGCACTCTAGGTACTCTATAACAAATTTTTTTTTTTTTTTTGCAGAATTCCCTGATAATAGTACTCTGAGGTGGATCAGAGTAAAGTGAGTCATGAAAGTGGCTTTGACTCATGAGACAGCACAACATGGATGAAGAGACTGATAGTCAGTAACCAAATCTAGGCTTCCATTTCCTCACCTGCATCAGACCCCCTGTAACCTATGTCTTTAAAATATCCTTGCAAAGAAATGTCCTTGCCTGGAATGTACTTCCTCATAGGCCTGCATGAAAAATGTTACTCGTACTTTAAAATCACACATTCATTCCATCAAAAATGTTTATGAACCCCTCAACAGGCATGAAGTGCTGTGCTAGGCACCAGGGTTCTGACGGTGAGCAGCATCAGACCATGACCTCAACCTTATCTGTCAAACTCTGCACCAACACCCCTATAAACTTGCCCTAGTTGTTCTCTCCCTAATACTCGAAGCTCTAGGTGTCTACGTGGTATTAGAGACAAATCTGTGTGTTTACAAGGCTATCCCCCTCCCCCGCCCCCCACCTGGCAGGCAGCTCCACAAGAGGCAGGCCTGGGTCAATTCATCTTTTATTTCCCAGTGCACACCTCAGAGTCTGACACATAGTGGAGCTCAATAAATGTGTGTTAAATACATCATTTATTATTTATGAAGCCTTGGTACAGTCAAATCTGTTAAATGAGTCTGCTAATAGGAGAGAAATGAAAACAATTACACTCAGGAAAATTATAAACTTTTGAGATATTCCTTGTGTATTTTTTTCTATTTTGTTAGATTTTATTAGCAGTCTTAGCAGCTACTTTAAAAATGCCTGCAAAGCTAACATCATTCACCTTTAAAGAGATGCAAAGTATAAATATAGGTGAAATTATGCCTGATTAGCCTTTTTAGGTTTAAAATCATGAGAATTTCTTTTAAAATAATGAACTAAGCTTCCATTTAATTGGAAATACTTATGTATGTGAGTGATTTAATATATAATAAGATTTGTTAAGTTTCTATACTAATTAACAACATTCATCTAGAAATGGAAAGTGGTAGAAGACATTCGTGGAATTTCACATAACACCAAAGTCTGGCACATCCTTCAAATAGAGATAACATTGTTTATTTAAAAACCCTTAGAATAGATATACATGTTTCCTGAAGTTTATAAAAAATGTGCTGAACTGTCCTTGAAAATGAAAGAAGAAAGCCTGTCATTATTTGTGCCCCCAAAGGAGAAGAAGCCATTCTTCAAATAATGCTAAGCAGACTTGGGAGGCTTCTGCAGCAACACTATCAAGGGAACTTTGGAGATAAAGAGATGCCGTTTAAATGCAGAAATAATTAAAATGGTTATCCTTTAACCGTCATCTAAAAACCACAAACAAAAGCACTGGAGAGTGAAAGTACCTACTTGGTCTGATGTTTAGATCCTTTCAGGTGGGCGTGATACTGTTCTATTGAGTTTAGAGAGACACTGCAGATGGTACATCTGTAATTGCGCCTCAGACCTGTGGACAACAGACAGACCGCATTAGCTGCATCCTTGTCTTCAACCACCTGAATGAATTCTAGAATCTCCCAAAGTCAGGGACAGAATGTCTTATCAGTTATCTGGTCCATCCCACCAACAACATTTTGATCCCTCCTTCCAGAGCCCAGTCAACACGTGTCTTAGCAGAAGTATAACTGTGAATATGTTAGAAGGTGCCTGCTCCATTTATGGGTGGCTGACATTATTAAAACATATTTTTGATATAAAATGGTTCTGGAAATTTTGTAACTTAAGCAAAGAAGCAGTGTAGTCTTTCTCAAGGCAGATAGAGATGGGAAGCTGTCTTATCTGCATGAAACTTGAGACTTCAGAGAATACCTGTCTCAATTCCTCCTCCACAACTACTCCAATGGCAGAGTCAGAAAACAACTTACATATCATTCACTTGGGTTCTTCTTTCAGGATCATCTTATAAAATGTAAATACTCAGAGGGATCATATATTAATCTATTTCACAAGAAATCTTACTTCCCACTAGAGAGTTTAAAAGGATGTTATCTACTTATTTATTTATTCATTTAATTAGTTCATTAATAGAGGATCAACTTTGGACCAGGCACTGGGGATTCTAAGATGAGTAAGATGCTCTCTGTTTCCAAAGAGGTTATTAAAAACCTCATTCCTTTGTAATATTGACTCATCTAGAGTCAACATGTTAGAAAGCAGCTTCAACAAAATAACTTTAAACATTTGCCACATCTCAGAGACCCACAACTAAACACATTCCTTCTGATGGTGTGTCCCAGCAGAGCAGAGAGAAAAGGAAACTCAGAGTTAAGATCTGAAACTGCAGATAATAAATCCCGGCTCCAATCATTTCTGGTTGTATGATCTAGAGCAGTGGTTCTCAACCTTGGCTGCTCATTAGAATCACCTGGAAATCTTTTTAAAATCCTGATTTCTGGGCCTCATCTTCTGGAAATTCTGTTTCTTTGTTATGGGGTGGGGCCACAATGTTAGTAACAAAGAAACAGAATTTCCAGAGGATGAGGCCCAGAAATCAGGATTTTAAAAAGATTCCTAGGTGATTCTAATGTGCAGCCAAGGTTGAGAACCACTGATCTAGAGGAAGTCACATAATTTCTTCCTAGCCTCAGTTTCCTTCAACTGCAAGATGAAGACAAGACCACCCACATCACAAAGCTGTTATAGGAATTAAGTGAATAATATATATTAAAATTCTTAGTAAGAGTTGTTTTTATTAATTTTGCTCCAAAATTCAATGTCTTACCATTGTAAAAACCAGACTATAAAGCAACTATAGCAATTTTTTTCTGATGAATGCATAGTGTTTTCTAAGAGACAAAATTCTTAATAGGAAAATAATGCACATTGTTAGCCCTAGCTGGTTTGGCTCAGTGGCTAGAGCATTGGCCTGTAGACTGAAGGGTCCTGGGTTCGATTATGGTCAAGGGCACACATTGTTAGAAGAATTTTACGACCTGATATCTGGGTGCAATTATACAAATTATTTGACTTCTCTGTACTTCTATTTTCTTATATGATTGTGGGAGGACTGAGGAAAAACATGTGTGAAAGAATGACTGACACATAACAAGTGATCAATATAAATTAGCTATTATTATTATTTCAAAGAGGTGTTAAAATGGAATTATATCTGTCCCAATGTCCAGATGAAGCCCTAAGTTGAAGTCCTAAGACATAGATGCTAATACATCCACATTACTAAAGTGAATATGAGGGCCACAATTCAGGGCATTCAAAGGAAGTGATCCAGAACCAGTTTCCAGCCCCAAGCTCATCATTTACCACCAGTCTAAAAGAAAGATAGAAAGAAATAGGTAGAGAGTTTCTAAAAGGGAGCTATACAGTACTGTGAGTTTTACTTCTCCTCCATGTGAGCTATGGGAAGAGTTCTTCTCTCTCACCTGAAACCTATGGGAAAATAAATAGCTAATCACAATGGAATCAAAACCACAGATCTCTGAGACCTTTTTGGGAAGTAATCTAAGGGACTCAAAACTTTCCAAGTACAGACTGATGATTCAGAGATGAAATAGACAACTGTTGACTCTCTATTCCCTTAGGCTTAAGCAATGACTCCCAAACTTCTGAGTGTGGATACAGCCTCCAGTTATGGTGCTAAAATGTAGATTCTCGGATACAACTTCTGGAGATTCCGATTCTATAAGTTTTGGATATGGCCTGGGAATATACAAGAAGTTTCAGACTAGTAACTACAACCCTCAACATACACACATGCTTAACAAGTACTGCCCCATAGATTCATATGCCTTTTGGTAACTTGAATCTGTCAGAACAATAGAAGGTCTTAAAAATGTTATTCTATAAAAAAGAGCTGTGCTTATATCACTTTTGAATTTCACAGGTGTGCATGATTGAGAAAGTTGCCATAGTCCCCAAACCCAGAGGCTGTAAGTTATCACAACCAGCATGCATATGAGTTGTTTAAATCCTTATCTCCCCTTTTATGCATGGAATCAGAATATGAAAGCCAGCTTCAGGCCTTTCTCACTCCACAGTTCTCCATCAATCTCCTCATAATAAATGGTAACTACTTTTTATACAGGTCCCCTTCCGACTACAGACTAATCAAAGGTCTCATCATAACAAATGGAGGTTCAGTTTGGCAGCAGGCATAAAAATTTATTTTTAAAAATAGGCACTTTTAAGGTCACCAACAAATCTAAAAAAATATTCTGATCTCTTACTTTCCACTAAAGTTTTCATGCTCTGCAGCCAAACAGAGGCGTGGGCAGGGAATATTTGGCACTTTATTGCGATGCAAACTACAGGGAGTATAAACTAGAAAGGCTGTGCGTATAAACAAGAACAAAGGCAGCAAAAGAGCAGAGGAGTCCTCCCCCACACATGACACAGTGTCCTTGGTGGGAACTTAGGGCTTTATTAATGCTCAGTTGAAAGCCAAATACTTTGGAATTATACAGTTCTTTCTTCCTCAGAGAACCAGAGAGTCTTATTAAACAAAAATGCTTACTTTCCTATTTAATTCATTTTCAGTGCAATACCATCTTAAGAGTATCCATAAAACCTCTGCAGACCTAAAGGTTATTTCTTCAGGATTGCCAATATGTGTTAGGAAATATAGTCCCTGCCTGCAAAGAACTGACAGTCCAGTTGGAGAGAGAATATATGAATACACATGTCAACAGTGTTAGGTAGATCCTAAGAAGTATCACAGTCTGGATGAGTAGAGTGTTACAGGAACTAGGGGAGAAAATTGTTTCTAACTCAGAGAGTCTGAAAAAGCTTCCTGAAGATGCATCACTTTTGTATTTACATTCCCGAGTACAGTATGTAGAACAGATGGTCCTGGAGGGTTCAGCAGTATGTGACTACTCTAGCAAAGTTAGACTTTAGATGTCCCTGCAACTTTAGATGCATCCATTCTACATTAGAGAAACATCATTATGACTTATTATGATGCCAGTTATTTTGCTGAATGCCAAGAATGTAGGAGAGAATAAAACAGGCAGAATAAAATTATTTATGGAGCTAGTCAGGTAGGAACACAGGAAACAAGTAAAGAAAGAAAAACATAATTAAAGATTGTGAAAGTGTCACACAGACTGTAAGCAGGATAATGAGAAAGAACCAGAGACGAAGGGTGATTTTTTGGTAGCATGGTCAAGAGTTCTCTGAGAAGTATGATATGAAACCAAGGGAATGAGAATTAAGCTGTGATTGAAGAACTAGTTCAAGAGTTGTCCAGGAAGAGTAAACAGAAAACATAGGTGGGAGTGGAAATCGGCCTGGACTGTTCAAGGAACAAAATGTGGTGAAAGAAAGAAACTAAACTACACTAAACTACACTACACTAAACTAAACTAAACTGTCAAGTCAGAATTCTATATCCAGCAAAAAATATCCTTCAAAATTGAAAGTGGAATAAGAATATTTTCAATAAAAACTAAGAGAAGAGTTTTCCAGCAGACCCACATCACAGAAAGGCTTCTAAAGTCCCTTAGATGGGAGGCAAAAAAACCATAATCTTTAAACTCCTATCTGCAGGGAAAGATGAAGAACACCATAAATGATCAATATGTGGATATCTATATTTGTATTCTTCTAAATTTATTTGAAGAAAGTAAACAATTTAAACTGTAACATTATATTATGAATACATGACAATAATAACATAAGAATGAATAGGAGTAGGACAACACTACTGAATGATCATTATCTTTTGCATAAAATGGTAAATAGTAACTCTAAATAGACAGTGGTCATTTAAGGATGCAACTCCAATCCACTAGAAACAAATACAAAAACATAAAGCTATGGAGCCTATAGAGAAAGTAAAATAGGACGGTAAAAATATTTGATTAACCCAGAGGAAAGCAAGAAAAGAGCTCTAGACCCAGAGGCTATCATTGGAGAATTCTATCAAACATTAAAGGATTGAAGACTATTTACTTATACAAATTCTTTCAGTGAAGAGAGGAGAAAGGGCAATACTAAATAGAATAATACTTGTTTTTGAGCCAGCATAACACTAACAAAAAGAATTTACAGACTCTAAAAGTAAATAAAATTGTAGACCAATATTTGTCATAACCATGACATAAAAATCTTTAAAATTTATCAAATCATCCCTAGCTGGTTTGGCTCAGTGGATACAGTGGCAGCCTATGAATTAATGGATCCTGGGTTTGATTCTGGGTTATTGGCTCAATCCCCAGTAGTGGGTGTGCAGGAGGCAGCAGATCAATGATTCTCTCCCATCATTAATGTTGATCTCTCTCTCTCTCTCTCTCTCTCTCAAATCAATAAAAAATATATTTTTAAAAAATAGCAAATTAGAAACACAAGATAGATATAGATATGCATGTATATATGTATATATACATTCATACATTCATTATGATATATACATATATACATACATATAAAATAATCAAGCTTATTTAATTATTTTAAGTACATATAAAATAATCAAGCTTATTTAATTAT